AAAAACAAAAGCCCCTTTTTTAAAAAAAAGGGGGTGGGTTTTTTTTTGTTTTTTTTTTTTTTTTTTTTTTTTTTTTTTTTTTTTTTTTTTTTTTTTTTTTGGACCTGGATTCACTCTGAAACTGGTGACACACAAAATTATATGGGTAAGCAGCGACGGCTTTTGAATTCGAGATGTTGGAAATTACATCTGAATCCCAACCAGTAAGAAAGAGCGAGAAAGCAGGAGAGCCTCTGTTAGAATGCATTAGGGGATTAAGATTTCATACCCCGAGGCTACGAATGTTTCCTCTTTGAAGCGGGGTGAATATCAGCAGCAGACTCTGCATGTCATTTCCACCGACGGGAAATTAAAGTAAGTAGTGATTGCGTGGTGGGATGAATGCTGCCGTGTTTGTTACTTGAGAAATGGCACAAAAGTGCTTCACAGGGCAGAACGGCGCAGGAGAGATCAGTTCGGCGGCTCGTCCAAATAACACTCGAGACTCGCGAGCGTCCTCCAACGCTTCGATCCTAATGTCGTTTCGGCTGCCGTTTAAATGTTCCTTCATTCTGCGCCTGATTGCAATTTTCTCTGTCGTCATCATTTTTGCTTCATTGCCTCATCCGGCCCTCTCGAGCTGCCTCTTTCTACGAATCTTTGATTGTGAGAGAAGGCCCTGAAGGAAGGATTAGCGGGAGTGAATGGGGGACAAGTTTTCCAGCTATTACATCCCAATGAAGCCGCTTTAAGCTTCACTAAGCCGCAACTGATAACTTTGCAGGCCATTAGCAAGCAAGATTGCCTTTCAGAGTCTCTCTCGTTCCTCCATCCTCTTTTCCTAGCAATCAGGAAAATGTGGAATGAAAACAGGAATTCAGACTTTACTTTCACCGCCCTCCGAGCCAAATAAGTTGTCTGTGGTTGCTTTACAAGGTTAACAAGAAAAGGGTTACAAATTCCAACCATCTTTTTTTTTTTTTTTTTTATTGGCGCAACGCAGTCGTCTTTTTATCGAGCTTGAATAGCAAATTCACTTTTACTTCATAAAATGCCAGTTTCCAACATTTGGTGTCTTTAAAGAAAAAAGCAAAGATGCTCCAGTCAAATACAATAAAATTGTTGTATTGGATTCAGTTATAATCCTGCCCAGTTCAGTACAGAAGGACTGACTCTATCTATAATTACTTATAGATAGGCTCACCTCCTCTTCTGAAAGCTTGTTGCTGCACAACCCAGCAGTGTTTGACTTAGACTAGACCAGCTGTGGAAAAACAAAAACGCTGACCACTTTTCATTTATTATGTTGTTTTTATGCTGACTGAATTCTACAGGTGAAAAACTCGAAGTCTGAAAAAGACTCAGATTTTTAAAAAAAAATTGAAGTAAAACCTTCAAATAACAGACTGTGTGCATCACTCTAGTACCTATTCTTTATGAGAACTGTACAATGCTCTAAAAAATATTTTTAAAAAGTCACTATCTGAGTTTATTTGAGATTCCTGTCGGAAACGTTTGCTGCTGTGATTAATGTTTCTTGATGGCAACAAGTTAATTAACCTGACCTGTGCAGTGCGTTGCTCGTCACTCTCTAGATAAAGGAAGAAAGCTCCTGATTATGGAAAAGATTGCTCTTTGAAATAAAAACCTTCAAACTTTCCAGACATTGTTGGAAACAGAATGACCCATCCACTTTACTATGGATACAGAGCTAAAAAAAAAAAAAAAAAGGAAAAACGCTGAACTCCTGAAATGTTGATAATGAAGCTGTGAGCATTTTCACATGCGTAGAGACCAAATTATGTAATATGTTAGTGTATGTGCACAAACAGTAAACCCTGTACAAAGATCATAATCCCTAATGAAACACTTTGCCTTTTTCGATCACATTATCGCTTCATGACCACAGTCATGTATCAACACTGAGGCTATTCACTTACTTGAATCAAGTAAAGTCTGTTTTTTTTTGTTTTGTTTTGTTTTTTGCAAAATGTTAAGTTGCAAAAAAACAGCTTAACAGTTTTTTGCAACTGTAGAATGTAGTGGTCAGTGAATGACCACTACATTCACTGACCACTACAGTCCCCTGACTTTACTGATAATACATCCATCCTGCTTTATGCCGCTGTGCCTCTCTCCAGGCATCAGTATAAATCAAGATCTTTGGGACTCTGGGGTATAAAATAGTGTAACATTGCAAAAACTATTGACAAAATCTCATAGTAAAAGGATTAACTGATCCAACATTGCAGTTAAATCTTAATGTTGTCCAACAAAATGACTGAGGGTTTATCTTTTCTCCTTCAGCTTTTGCCAATATTTTCCTGGTGTTTTAGGAAATACTGTAAACAAGACGGACGTTGTGGTTGCACTTGCTGCTTTCAGGACTTGCGTCAAAAAGCGATTCTGCGCCTTGTCAGAGTCTAAGGAGAAGGACATAAGCTTGGAGGAGAAGCTGCTGTCCAACTTGCTCAGGGCAAACAGTGTTTCTGCGATAGGATCAACTCACACAGGTCCACATGTGCACACACTCCTGAATGTTTCCCTCTGACCGAGCTGAGGGAGAAGCGAGGCCTCCAGCTAAATGCAGGTTAGCTGCTCATGACAGTATCCACGGTATCTGTCTGCATTTCCCCAGGCTGTTCCCTGCAGAACACGTGTTGTTCAAGGAGAAGTTTGCAGAAGGAAGTGACTTTAAACCTTATTCTGTTCCAGAGCAACAAAATAATTTGGACAGCCTACAGAAGAAGTGTTGAGAAGTAGGATGTGATTATTTTGTAGAGAAGCGTGAGACAACTGGGAAAAGGTGGGATTCACACTGAGCATACCACCAATAAAATCTTCTTTATTAAATATCCAGCAACTACTGTCAGGCAGCACCGTTTTAACATCCAATGCTCTTGCCAGCTCGCTTGTCTGGACTGCTCAAAATATTTTTAAAGTGTTAAAAAATGGAGAGAAGCTCATTTTAAGGAGGACGTTGCAGCTATAAAATATTCTAGCGTGCAAATAATCTTTTTGCATTCAGTAGGGAGTTGTTGTTTTTTTTCTACTTTATTTGAAAGCAATTTCCTGGACTGTTTTCTGTTTTTATTGTTTTTGTTTGTGTTATGCATTTTGTAGTTTAATCAGATAATTTTATCTGCCAAGAATATCCAAGTATCTTCTCTCTATTTAAAAAGTGAATGCAAGAGGGAGACGCTCTCCTAACTCAGATCATAATAATTGTAACATGTTTACATGTTTGTTTAGATGTTGGGTTTCTATTTAGATGGTGACTCTGCAATCTGACAACAGATCTAGTCATAAATGTGTCATCCCAGGATCTACTTTTCTCATACTTATGTTTCCTCTTGAGTTATTCATCTTTAATGCAGTATACGTATTGTATAAATATAGTCAGTGATCCAAAAATACACACACTAACTTACTAACTTTCAGCCTGTGCATACATTTTTCACATTCAAAGTTTAGAGATGAACAGTATTTCTGGCTCCTGTTCGATTTGAAGAAATTGCTTTTGGCATTTAACTTTGAATGTAGTTGGAATATTTTATCTTCTGGTCTCTTACAGGTCTATTACCAGAATTGCCTTTTAGCATCACTTCTAACATTTTTTCTTTGCCACTGCCTCTCTTTTTTTCTCCATTTTTTTTCTCTCAACACACCATGTTGTCTCGGTTTCCCGTCAGGTGGCGAGGTGGCAACGCCGAGGTTCACTCAGTATTTCCACGGCAGCCTCTCCGGTCTGACGATCCGACCGGGCCGCATTGAAACCCAGAAGGTTATCTCCTGCTTGCAGGCCTGCAAAGAAGGGCTTGACATTAACTCCCTCGAAAGCCTTGCTAAGGACATAAAGGTGCATGAAAATACAAAGACACAGTCGCTTTTTCACAAGACACTTCATCCTCTGTTTGGTGGTGCAGGGAATACTCATCATCTCATTTCTGCTACAGAACTATCGCACTGTCACACGTAGTCAGCGAAGGCTCATGTTGAAGCTAATCTGGAATAGATTTGGAGATAAATGCAGTCCATTACAAACACTTCTGATTAAAGATCAGGGCCATTAGTCACATAAACCGGATGGGAGGTGAGATTTTAAAGTTGTCCTTGTGTGTCCAGTTTCACTTCAACCCGGCCCAGTCGGTGCTGGTGGTGGAAGGAGAGGATGTGGACAGCATCAACACAGCCATGACCAAAGTCTCTTACATCAACTCTCGGCAGTTCCCCACACCCGGCCTCAGGCGGCTGCACATCTCCACATCTGTACAGTGAGTCCTCGGTTACTTACTGGATGCATTTCTTACTTTACTTGTAAGACGAAGCACAATTTGAACATTGCCTTATCCGTTTCCCATAACTGCATTCTCCTAAATATCTGCTTGTTTAAACCACAATCCACCTGATGTCTTCATCGTTTGCATTTCGAGGCTCTTCCAAAGTGTTTAGACAAGATGCCTGTGAAAGTGAAGTGATACGTTTAAAACATAAAATCATCTAAACCTATTCTAGAGGATTTATTCATCTTTATGGTGCATATCGAAGTTTACACACATAAAATGAAATGGACACTCAAATAAGAATTGTTTTGTTTATTGTCATGACTCTAAACGTTGTTGCTGTTGCTGAGAAGTAAAACTGTAGGGATTTTTTTTTAACATCATCACAATGAGTTCTGTTATATTTTACCACTGCAGCAATAGTCATAGTAATAACCTCGGTTATTCAAGCACCTAGCATATTGTTATTGCTAGATTAATGTCATTCAGCTTATTTCCTCTGCAACTTCCAGTGTAAAACAGACTCCTGGGGTAGAACTGCTGCTTAAACCAGCCCTGTTAGGGGGTTAGTACGTTTGATTTTACCCCAGACCTTTGGGATTGAGCTTCATTCAGGGAGGTTTGGGTTGTTGGTCTTAGTTAAAATTCATCTGCACATATTTTCTGCCTTAATTGTAACACTTTTCAGATGATGCACTTCTGCCCTCAGCTGTCTGGTGAAGCAAAAAGTATGTTTATGGTTTGGAAACATTTATCAGTCAGGATAGTTTTCTAATTTGTACCCTAGTTTATAGTCATTTGAAGTTCCTGATTTTAACTCTTCACTAGGTTTGAAATTACTAACTTTCGCTTTTAGAAATCCTTGAAGTCAAAGGGAGTAATTCCTCAAGTCAAAGTAATATTTTAAGGTTTTTAAACTCTAATCTTGAAAGTTTTTCACCATTTGTGTAATTATAAGGGTGGAATACTTTTATTTTGATTAATTACTGTCATAGGTTGTAATGTGTTAAAAGTTTTAGCGAAATTACTCACAATTTTTTTTCTCAAATACAAAAATCTTGAGCCGGAACTTCTGTACTGGCCTGTTTCTGGTACGGCCCTAAATCTGACGCACAAACGAGAACAATGAACCACAAAGCTGCTTCTCTTGAGCCTACAAGGGTTAAATATTCAGATAATTTGTCTGCAATTTCTACAGTCTCTTGAAATAAATCATGGTACATGTGACACACCCAATCCTGTTCGATGAACAGTACCGCTACCACAGCAACAGTATCTCCATTAAATTGGTCGTAAATTTGTCGATGGTTTCCACCGGTTTTTAAGCAATAAAGCGCTAAATTAGGATTCACTTCCAGCACAAGGACATTTTTCTGACACAACTGGGCGATAGTTCTGGTGAAGACTCCCTGTTTGTGAAACGATGAGTATGTAATAAGGTGTGAAGGAGGTACGAAGGCCTGGCTGATCTGTTGGGTTTGACTTTGTCTTCAAGCCATTGAACACTCAGTGAGATGGGCAAAAACGAACCATTAGTGTAAAATCAATTAAACCTTGAAAGAAAAGCAGATGTACATCCAGGAAATAAAGCCTGATGGTGTTTGCACAGAGCACAAACTCTCCTCGTCCTTCCTCGTGTTTGTTGTTTGTTATCCATCTTTTAAATTTGGTTTGAACTCGATTGATTTTCAATCTGGCAGATCAGGATGACGAGGTCAGCCTCTCAGGCCGACTCTCCTTTTCAGTTTACACAATCTGCCACGTTTTCTTGAGATTTTTAACATTTGGTTTCCCCCCCTCCATATATAAAATAGCAACATTTCTTGGCTGTTTGTTGTAAAGAGTGTCACACCTATTAAACTACATTAATCCATCCAGAGTAATGGATTACTCATTACATGGCACTACATACATTTTTTAAAGTAAAACTGATTCTGTACGCCACTTTGAGACTAACCAGTTGTAGATTTATCTTTTATCTTATATTTAGAGTCCACTTCCATCCATATCCCATCTGTGGGTTTGGTATCAGAGTGTTTCTCTTGCCTTTACTGCTCTTTTATTAAGCTCTAAACTCGGGCCAGGGTCAGCTCACACACGCGTTGTTTGATAAAGTGAGACGAGCTTGTGGAACAACAATCGAAGTTGTCTGACTGCAGCGCTAACCCGCCGCTGTCGAGATAAAGCTGGCAGAGTCCTCCATGTGCTCTCTGCAGACATGTCGAGTCTGCAGCCTGTGATTAAGGAAAAATGTGGATTTTTTCTTTTTTTTAACGCCTGATCGTGCTGTTTTGCTTCCAAACAGTGTCACTTGTTCCAGCAGTTTTTTTTTTACAACTATAACTATGTCAGACATCATATGTCAGAAATCATAGGTTTTACGGACATGACCCGCAAATAGCATCGGTTTTCAGAAACATGTACAGTACAAGAACATTGTGTAATCCACGGAAATCTCTGTTTTGTTGCGGAAATATGAAGTCTCGCTTTCCGCTGCATTCTTTTCTTTTTTAATTTTGCAGCGTTACCTCTGTCTATCCTCACTGGGCTTTTCTGACATATAGAGTTCATGGACTAGTTCCACATGACCCAGCAAAAATGATTAATTTGGTGCTGCTGGGTGAAACGTATAAAGCAAACTGCATAGAGGAAAACTACAATTATTATTTTTTTTACATTTGAAAACTAAGATATGAACAGTTCCTGTTCATTTTCAGCAGAAAATTGTATCATCCTCTTTATAGTGGAATGCAACTCAAATCAAGATCCAGGAGCAACAGTAGAATAAAATGAGTTTTATTAATTTAAACCCAAAAATATCAACCATCACTGACAATTTATTTCCCGTTAATACTCTTACATTTTATCATACAGAGAAGATTTAATATAATGTTTGTAATTCTACCCCCTGAAGCTCCAATGTGTTTTATTGGGATTTTATGAAGAACACAGTTATGAAGTTAAATCATAATATAACATGGGTTTTAAAATTTTTTTTTTTTTTTTTTTTTTACAAATTTAAAAAGTCATCTCATTAGTAAACAAAACTCGCCTGAATTTCATTATAAATCCAGATGTTCTGTGAAAACCCAACACTGAGCACTTAGTTCCCACTGGGGAACATTGTGGTGGCAGCATCATGCTGGGGGCGGATGTTATTCTTCAAAATGGGCAGGGAAGATTCTCACACTAAAATGCAAATCAGACTGAGCTACATCTGGGACTAAAAACTTGCTTGAAGCTGCAAAAGTCTTCAGAGCGAGACAGAAAAATCCCATCCAACATTCTGCAGATCAAACTCGGGGAGAAAACCCCCCCCAAAAAACCTAGTAATATCGGAGTATTTCGTCAGCATAATAAAAAAAACCCAGCTTTTACCGATCAAAAAAGCATGTTTCATACAAATTTAATAGACTTTTAAATAATGCCTTAAGAAATAGACAATTTGAAGGAAAATTGAGAATCTCTAGTTGGATATCACAACCAAGATGACATGAGGGAGAAAGTGTGTATAAGCTACAGAAGAAATTTGATGAAGAGGTGAAAATAAAGCATTTTTAAACATGCTTTAGCATCTCCACACATGTGAATTAAGCTTATAGCAAACCAGTCATTATCTGGTAATACCTAGTTATGCACATTTTTTTTTAGAAGTGTTAAAAGAGTAATTTGCATGTGACTTTATCTGAAAACAAAATCTCTTAGAATGATCCCAGTCAAACTGTAGCTCTAAATCCAGTTGCGAATCTATTATTAAAACTTAAAATCTATGTTTACAGCTTCTCTGTCTATTCAAGCTTAAACCATTGAGCCTGTAACAATGGTTGATGGAGACTTACCCCGAAGCTCTTACAGCTGTAACGGGAGACGAAGGTAGTTCTGCAGTGTTTGGACCGCATTTCTGTTTTTTTTTTATTATTATTATTTGTAAATAATTTAAAATCATGCATGATTTTTCCTTCTGCTCAAAACCTTTGTTCTATTTTGTGTTTTTGACATAAAATCTCGTTAATAATACATCGCTGTATTTTAGTTGGTGAAGGAATAACCTTAAAAAAAAACATGCGTTGTTTTAGAAATGGATGTTTTCTGCTTTGTATTGTCTATTGGAACAAGACGAGGCATGTGCCGAGTATCGAGCACGTTATCGGCACCGTAGGAGTCTAACAGTTAAGGCTTTAGGTGAAGACGGATAAGCCGTGCTGCTGTAACACCTCCTCTGTCCACCGGTCAGGTGTTTTGGAGAGGACACGTGCGTCTCCATCCCGGACATCAAGGCGGTGGTCATGGTGCTGCCGCCCAGTGAACCCAGAATCACCATTTCAGGATCCAAGCAGCTCGTCAGACCCGCCAGCGTCCTCCGCAGCCCGCTGGGCGTGGCGCCCTTCAAAGAGCTGCGGATCACCAGCACGGTGATGAAGAGCGACAGCTTTGGGGGATGTGAGTGGACACACCTCTGAGCTTTTTTTTATATATATATATATCTGACATCTTATTTATAATTCCAGACCTCATCAATGCAAACTTTTTTTTTTTTCCTACTCGTATGTTAAGTAACTTTGTGGCTGTGTGTGCAGTCCGCCGGCCAGGGGTGATGGAGGTGATGCACAACCTGGACTACTGTGATGTGCTTGTAATCGGAGACGAACTGGAACCAGAGAGAGAGAGCCTGGAGATTCAGCACAGCGCTTTACTGGGAAAGCACCTCGATGCCACCAACTCCACCTCTGGAATATCAATATATGGTAACATCACTCATAAAACCTCAACCGTATCTGTCAGAAATCTTAATAAAAAATAAAAAAATCTGGGGAGAAAAAAAAAACCCATCTTCTGTTTTAAATCAGGAGGTAGGAGGAAATGTCCACTAATCTCAGTGAGTGAAGCAAAGCAACACATTCATCTTTACATTTTATTTATTTACGTTGATAAAAAGTCAAGTAGTTTAATTAAAAGGTAGCTGAAAGGAGGTCAAAACCTGGGAAGCAATTAGTAGAGATTAAAAATGTGAAACGTCTTCCTTATTGTTTAAAAGTCCATAAATGTACACTTTCTTTTTAGATAAAACTGTGAAACAGTGAAACAAATAAATAAATTAATAAATACATTTTGATTTAACCACATTTTTCATTTTTCTGTGTCATTATTGCTCAGCTAAAGTCTGCACCAGAGACATCAGAGGCAGAAAAATCTATTTAACCGTCCTGCAGATTTTGAAATGGATATGTAAATGTAGGGTAGTTTGTCAGTGGGTTTTTCTGTCCACAGGTGTGGACTCCATGGCCCACTATGAGCAGGTCCTGAGGCAGCTGCGCTACAGGAACTGGAGACCCGCCTCTCTGACGGAGAGAAGGTTCAGACTTACCTGCTCCGAACTCAACGGACGCTACACCAGCAACGAGTTCAACCTGGAGGCAGGTTTTTGGGCTATTCATAAATATTTGTCTTTTTTTCTTTTTTGTGCGTTAAACTGTGTGCCTTTCTTTGGCCTCGTCTTTGAGGATGACGGCTCTTTGTTCCTGCTCCGCTAGATCAGCGTCCTTCACCACACTGCGCCCATGGAGCACGTCAATCACATGGCCGCCCAGTCCCAGTACATGAGACCGGTCCATCACCCGCTGATGATCCACACCCCGAACTCACACATGTCAGGTAAGCCAGTGATGAAGAAGTGGAAAACATATCCTTACCTGGCTGATTGGTCTGATCACATGGATTTCTCCTTTTTCCTCATCAAACTTGTTCCCACCTGATGATAATTTGTGCTGTAGCATTTTAAAGCGCAGCTCGTCCTGTCTAAATGTTAGACATTTAATTTGGCGTGCTCCTGACCTCTAAAATGTCACCGGACCCCCATGATGAGATCGAGAGAGCTTCAGAAAGAAGGTCAGATCTGATTACGAGTACGGTAGAAGATGTGAAGAGGTCTCAAAAAGAATTTGTATTCCATATTTCCACAGTATGAAAAAAAATATGTAGAAGTGAAGAACATTTAAAACTACTGCCCTGTTTCCTGTCAAACTACTGTTAAATAAAATACCAAAACCTTTAAAGAAAAGGAAAATGTGAACAGAACAAACACAGATGATGATCTCAGTGAGAGCCTGTGGAGTAACGTCAAACATCTCATAGCTGTAAATGTGGAGTGAAGCAAGTTCAGCCCTGAAGTCCCTGAAGTTATTCATCCAAAGCGGGTGAGACTATAGCTAAGAAGAGGAAGGTTGCTCTGATTGTTTTCCTCTGATAGATAACACAGTTTTGATGATGCCTCTCACAGACCCAGGCTGCCATTATACATGGATTTCCTTGACAAATTACTCATAAACAAAATTTATGACACAAACAGAACATGGTCACTACAGAGGAAGCGGTCAATTGACTCCAGAGAGAAAACTTTCTGACAGGTTGTAGTTCAGTTCACTTTCTATGTGACATCAAGAAACCCTAAAAAGTGACTGACCTCAGTAGTCGATGATTCATGTAGGCTACCCTCAATACCTACCTCTAAGATGCTTCCTTTGGGCTTTAGATGTTCCATTAAGGTTCACAAAGTTCTCCAGATTTTTAAATTAATCAAGATATGATTTTTAATAAAGTCTCCTGTTCTGTCCTGGGCTGACACTAGATTGGAAGAAGAGTTTGCTTTAACCTGCAGAAGACAGTTTTGTAGGCTACCGCTGACATCTGATGTGTTTGTGACAGTTTCTGCAAGTCCATTTCGGTGCATTCATACTCTGTCTGCAGGTTGGATTGTAATGTCTTTCTTTCGGCGTAGTTTAAATGAAAAATGGATTGGAGGTTACTTAGAAAGCAGGAGTCTTAATTTTTTATGTTAGATCTATAACTAGTGAGATTTAGTTTCCTTCTCTGTGTGCCTTTTTCATCCCGATGAATTGCTGGTGCTCTAATCTCCCGGTCAGGATTGCCAGAGAGGGTGCAACCAATCAAAACGTAAAAGATGTGGCTCGCAGCGAGGGGAAAAATAAAAAAAGTGAACAGCTGATATTCCAGCTGCTTGCTCTTTGAAGAGTTCAGTCTTGTGTAAACATTCTTTGTGCATTCAAGAGTGATGCTGGCGCTGCACATGATGCATTCACTGAATCAGTTTCCACTGAACCTTGTCGCTCTTATCTCTCATCGTAATCCTGAGGCTCGGGCCGCCACCAAACCATGAACGTCTTTTGTGCTTTACATGTCTCCAGCTTTGTCTCTTATTAAAAACACTTTGAAACTGAAGTGACGCTGCTAGCTCATGATTGTCTTTTCTCCGCCAGGTCCAGCGCCCCCTGCAGCCACAGTTGTCATTGTGGTGTGCATCGCCGCCCTGGTGATCATCGTGGTGATCGGGATCTACAGGATCCACGCCACGCACCAGGAGGGCTCCAGAGACGAGGAGGATGAAATCAAGGATCCAGAGTCGGACTGGGAAGGCTCTGGGCTCAACATCACCGTCAACCCCATGGAGGTAACCGAGACCGTCTCGAGTCTTCAGCAGGTTTATCTATCTCTGATGCAGTGAACACGACCGCCGGCTATGGATGTGAGATCTGGATTTTGTCGCCTAGGACATGAAAGGACCCCAGGCGCCGGGAGAAGCTGCGAGAGGAGAAGAATGTGAGGAGGAGGATGAAGAAGACGACGTTGAGCTGGTGGGAGGCATGACGATCGTTGAATCAGACAGCAGCGATGAAGACGAAGAGGAGGGGAACAAAGGAAGAGAAGAGGTTAACGGGAAGAAGCAGAAGGGGAAACCTGAGTGGGACAGTTCATGTGGAACATACTGAGCACACACACAGGAATCCGTCTACACAAACACAGTGGCTTTATCTTTCTCAACTGCAGACACACACACACGCATACACTATGCAGGCATTAACACATGCTTGTCACATCTACACACACACACATAAATTGTCTGATGAAATAAATTACAATCTTTTGCTGGAAAAATACATAAATTCTCCCATATTGTCGTTTTTGAAGTAATATCGCCCTCTTCTGGACAAAGTCAAACATTATACAGTTAGCTGCAGTGCCACAGTGCTGGAAGTCATTATCCGAGTGTTTGCCATTATTCCCGCCTCCGACAGTGAGGCAGAGCATCCATAAACACACAAAGTAAACACATGTGTCATTTTATCATGTGTGTGTGTGTGTGCGCAGACAAGTCTGAAGTTTTTCTTCATAGCACATAAAACTAGTCTCTTGTCCCAGAATTTAGTCCAGTGTGTTACAAAAAGTATTCATACTCAAACCTCAATGTTTTTAGCTGGGATTATACGTGATAGAACAAACAGAGAGTGACATTTAAAGCCTTCTGCAGCCTCTAAGTTTTCTATCAACTTTCATCCGTCTTCCAAAGATCAGCCTGTCGGTCTTTGACGAATAAGAGCGTCCCTACAGTATGATGCCGCCTCCTCTACTTTTCCCCCAGTAGTGATGATGCGTTCAGGCTCGTGTGTAGTGATAGTTCTCCTTGGCAAAATGTTATGTTTGCATTTAATCCAAAACGTTCAATGTTGGTCTCATGTGAGCAGAGCATCCAGCTCACATGTTTACTGTGTCATCTAGGAGGCTTGTGTCAAAGTGAAAATGGGGATTTTTTAAAATCCATTTCTTTTAACAATTGCTTTCACACACACAATTTTGATACTTGGCAGAAATTGCAAAACTTGCGATTAATGGTGGATTACAAGAAAACAAAGTAAAAAGAAAATAAATAACATATTCTCACTATGTTGATGTGAAAAAAAACTATTCAGGAAATTCGCAGAATATATATATATATATATATATATAGCCTATCAACAGATTCTCCCTCCTGAGACTTGATTCTCTGCAGCTCCTCCACCGCTACCACAGGCCTCTGAGCTGCTGCTTTGATTAACGCTCTTCTTCCCAAGCCTCTTAGTTTAGGTGAAATCTCATTTCCAGTCCTGTTTGCAGTTTTTCCTATGCATATCGCAGATTTAAATGTCGAGACGATGGATTGAACAGCACTTCTTGAAATGGCAGAGTTGCAGTGGATTTCATTTATCTTTCCCTCTTTCACATTCGTGAACTCGTTTGTCCTGGTTCATCACATAGAATCCCTTCGAAATGTCTGGTTGTAAGAAGGACAAAATGTGGAAAAAAAATAAAAAAATGTTTACAAGCTTATGAATACTTAAGCAAAGCTCTGTTCACCTATCCTAACATTACTTTTTGTGTTCACGTCTTAACCGCATCGTCTGCAGATCAAACATATGAATACACATGTCCACAGGTTAAATATATGCATAAAACTTTTAGATATAGATTATTGAATCTAAATATTCTGTGTGGTGTAGCGATGTTGTTGCTCAGTGTCCGTCATCCCCGTCTGCAGCCTCACGCCTCCCTCTTCTGGATGAGCAGCGCTGTGGCTCTGCGGCCTGCGCATCGTCAACACTATGGGATCTCTCATTACACAACATTCCTCATTTCTTCTATGTTGCATAAAATGTCCATGCCACAACAGATGATGCGTAGCAGCCATTCCTCCTCTAGTTTTTGCTAGGCTTTTAAAGCTAACTTAATCATGTTTTGTTTTGTTTTTTTTGTTGTTTTTTTTTATCCCAAAGGCTTTTCTATCTTGAATCGGAAGTCTTTAATCGCATTAAGCTACTTTAACTCAGACCTGAAGGCCAACACTGGCCTCAAAATGAAAGGTAAATAGAGGCCGATTTTTTTTTTTTTTTAACTTGTGATTTCCTGGTTTGGTTAAAAGCAATATGTAAGTGAGTCTACATCTTACACAGGACTTTCATGATCATAGGCATCACCATGACTACTACCACCCAGCATCACCCTGCAGCAAGGTTGAACTCTGAGAAACAGCGATAGAAGATATTTTTATTTTTTCAAGTTTAAATGAGTTTTAAATGTAACGTGTAAACATAAGTCAGTCTAACTGAGAGGTTCCCGCTCCATCTCCTCATAACCTCATAACGGCGTCAATCAGAAGTTTACATCCACTCAGCATGAGTATGAATATTATATCACTTTTAACACCTATTAACACACACACACTACAAAGCTGGGTGCACTAATTTGATTTTCTTTTGAACTTTCTCTAATACACTCAATGGCAAATTAGATACTAGGTCAAATATGTGCACACACCCTAAATATTAGAATATATGTCTCTTAGCGTCTTGCAGCGAAAATAAATCAACCAAACGAATAATACACTCATGTCGATAATGAATGGATGTAAAAAAAATAAATAAAAAAAAACTGACCAGAACTATAAGCATTCAAGTGTTGGTGCTTTCCTCCCACCCACTGAGACAAAAGCAGTTTATATCCTTTAGACGCCTAAAGGGAAGAGCTGACGTGAAAGTTTTTCAGAGTTCGCCTTCTCTGAAAGGTTTCCATAATCCATATCTGCGTCCTAACGACGTACATTTCGTTTCAAACGAAAGGCGATCCACAGAGTGCGTTATGCAAACGTCACCACTGACCGAGCCGCCCAGCTCGACGACGGCAAACCCTCCTCTGTAAAAATCTGTGAAGCGCCTCTTTGAACTCCCACCCTGAACCTTTAGAGGAAAACCGTTTCTTGTCCTGCAGTCGCTGACCTGCCTCCGTCCCTCCGGCTGTGATGGAACCAGAGTCATCCTCAACTTTGACGACACCCTGAATTCACCCTACAGATTCATATTAAGTGTCCAGTATGTAGAGTTATAACCCGAGGCTAGAGCGGCTGGAAAAAACCCGCAGCTTGGTTCCCCCCCCTCCTCACCTGTGATGTATGTGCTCTCTAACAGACATGTCGCGTGTCCACCTGTCCTTTAAAACACCTGTGCTCGTGGCATCACCATTGTGAAACGACTGCCCTGTTTTCTTTGTCATAATATGCTTCGTAAACATTAAGGATAAAGAGGTTCTTTTACATATGAAACGAAACCCTGTAAAAATGTTTAAGACCGTTATTTTATATATCCGTTTCCTTTTCTTTTTGTAAACTAAATAGTTGGGATTTATCTCTATCTGGTGGTCATCCCACAGCTTTCTGTAAATGGATCAATAAAGAATTGTTTTAGACTCTACTCGGCTCCGCTTCCTGTGTCTGCGGCGTCCGCGCGCGTTCTCTGTTTGGATCCTTCCAGGCTGCTGTTGCTAAGCGATCTGATGTTTACTTTTGTTTTGATGGAAAACTCGGGTTGATGCAGGCGATGTCTTTTACACATCTCACAGCATCTGTCCCAGCGTTTGGGCCAGTAAAGAATATTCTAACCTTACGTATGCAGTTTCTTTATTTGCTCTTGTCAGAAGTGAAGCCATTTCTCTGCCAGGGTAAAACCGACATTAGAGATAAAATTCAGATAGGTTCTATTAAAGGTTTATTTCTTTAATAGAAATAAACCTAATATTAAATAAACCTAATATTATTGCATAAGAATATAACACTAACACAATATAACGCGACGTAACGCCTGTTATGAACACGAAGGAGTCTTTATGAATGTTTATGTCAGGAAGTGTCATTTGGTAAATATTGACAGTTCATGCAAAGTTGCTTTAAAGGTTGGATTAAAAGTCTATTAAAAATGCCAACTTTGAATTTTTTGGTAAATAATTTCACCTAACCCCCAACCCCATCTGTTTGGCTCTTCAGGGTTAAAACGGTTTATGTTTCTACGTATAAATACCAATCAGGATCTATTTGGTGTATTTGTCCTTATTACTATTGCTCAATGTTTTTACTCAGCCAGACAAATAAAATATGAATATTCAGATACATAAAGGGGAAATGTTGGCAAAATATTTGCTAAAGAAATCAGAAGGCAGAGTGTTAGGAAGAGCAAAACTTTCTTAAAGAGACGGAGGTCCAATTTCAAGGCGTTAAATTACAAAGTCAGATCTTGTTTTTTTAGTCATATTTGATTTATGTAGCATTTTTTTAACAACTATAGATAACATTGACTGTGGTATAAAATGTCTCTATGTGGCTGAAAAAATGAATCCTGTTCCTTTAAAAGCATGTGTGCTGATGATTTTCTCTGGTTTTACAGCATAAAGAGATGAGAACGAAGGATGCCGAAGAGAACGATCTGCACTTAGAAAATCTTAGTCTTGTAAACAGAGAAGAAAGAAAAAAATGAAACTTTAATTTGGAGGAGGTTCTTCAAGAAAAGATGGAACGAGCCACAGACAGAAATGTCCAAGCACAGAAAATCCCTTTCCACCAGCTTAACGGCTCAACCAAGTCAATAGCTATTAACTGCATTCTTGGCTCTCTGAGGTCCGTTTCAGCATTATTGAACATGCAGTGCTTATCGGTTAAAAAGCCACATTAAGCTACTAATTAGTCGATTGTATTTCTCCCTCCTTGGGGACGCAAGAAGCGTAGAAATGCACATTCAGCAGAACTGAGGGCAGAAAGCAGCGTGGCAAGACTTCATCTG